CTCTGGTAGTGCACTATCTGATAAAAAAAAAAACGTACATGTCCTTAAAGTTCTCACAGGCATAACATTCCAATTTTTTTTCCCCTCTAGTAGTGCACGATCTAAAAAAAATATCACACAACCAGCATTCGTGAATCGTGAGAATTGCAATCCTTATGGCTGGTGAAGAACGGAGTTGTGGCGAAGACGGCCGGGGTCGCGGTGGTGCCATTAATGTCAATGGTGCCGCGACAAGTTTAGCTCATGATTTTGGTTCAGGTTCCCAGCTTTTTGAGTCCGACTAGGCTGCTATCACTGGTCTTTCTAGTGAGCAATGGTCCCATATTGGGTGATATTTGTGGTGTTTTACCTACACCCTCGATTCCTGTTGTTTCTTATCATGTTGCTTCCCTACGCCCTCTTTGTCGCCGACTGTTTCGATTCCTGAGGTAGGGCTCTCTGATCTTGTGGTTTCTAGTGGTTCTGACGACAGGGGGGTTCATCTCCCGTGGAAACATTAGGTCGGGGTCATCAAGCCAAACGACCCTCTACTCGTCTTAAGGACTTTGTCATTGAAACTGTTTGTCCCTCGAAACCCTCCACTGTCTCTTTTGTGTCATCGCTTTCCTCAGGTACGCCTTATCCGATTACACATTGTATCTCCTGTGATTTGTTCTCATCGGACCACAAGTCATTTTAGCAGCTCTTGCTTTCACGGTGGAACCTCGCACATTTGTTGAGGCTGCTGCTGATCCTTGGTGGAGGGTGGCGATGCAGGAAGAGATTCGGGTATTGGTGAACAATAGCACATGGGTAGTTTTTTCTTTTACCTGGGAAACATGCGATAGGTTATAAGTGGTGTATAAAATGAAGCACAAGTCTGATGGTCCAGTTCAGCGCTTTAAAGCGTGTCTTGTTATTCTGGGTAACAATCAGGTGTCTGGCATTGATTATCATGAGACTTTTGCCCCTGTGGCTAAGATGGTTACAATTCCGTTGTTTTTTGTTGTCGCAGCTGCGAAGCATTGGGAGATGCACCAGATGGATGTCCACAATGCTTTTCTTCATGGTGACTTAGATGAGGAGGTGTACATGAAGCTTCCCTCTGGCTTCTGAACTGGTGCGACTGATCAGGTGTGTTGTCTGCGTCGTTCTCTATATGGGTTGTAGCAAGCTCTCGGTGTTGGTTTGCCAAGCTTGTTACTGCCATGACATATTACAATTTTTTCTCAATTCTATCACGATTACTTTTTGTTTACTCGTCATCGTGGCTCTGTTTATTTGAATGTTTTTGTATATGTAGATGATTTGATTATCTCTGAGAATGATTCCACATCTATTGCCGCTTTTAAGAGTTATTTGAGTTGGTGTTTTCACATGAAGGATTTGGGTTTTCTAAAGTACTTTTTGGGCATTGAAGTTGCCCTAAATTCTTTTGGTATTTTTCTTTGAAGGCGGAAATATGCCCTTGATATTGTTTCAGAAGTTGGCTTGTTAGGAGGTAAACCTGCTTCTATTCCTTTGGAGCAGAAACATCAGTTGCCTCTTGCTGATGATGAGTTGTTAAAGGATCCTGAAAAGTATCGTCTGGCAATTACTCGGTCGGAATTGTCATACTCTGTTCATATGCTAGCTCAGTTTATGTATCAGGCCAGACTCATTGGGATGTTGCCCTTTGTGTGGTTCGTTATTTGAAGGGTTCCCTTGGTCAGGGTATCAGCCTACGTCTGATTATTATCTTCAGTTATATGGTTGATGTGATTTAGATTGGGCGACCTGTCCTCTCACACGTCACTCTCTTACTGGGTGGTTTATTCAATTGGGCCAATCTCTTGTTTCTTGGCGTACTAAGAAACAAAATACGGTTGCACGCTCCTCTGCTGAAGCCCGTGCTATGGCAACCACTCTTTGTGAGCTGAAGTGGTTGCGAGGTTTATTGTCTAGCTTTGGTGTGTCTCATTCTCAGCCTATGCAACTTTTCTGTGATAGTCAATCTGCCATACATATTGTCGCAAATCTTGTCTTTCATGCGTGCACCAAGCATATTGAGGTCGACTGTCACTTTGTTCGAGATGCACTTCACCAGGGTCTCATCTCACCTTAATGTTCCTACTAGCGCTTAGCTAGTGGATTTCTTTACCAAGGCCCTTGGAAAATGTGAATGTGCAGTTTTGAAAATGTGCAGTTTTGACAAAACTGCACATTTAATTTCAAAACTGCACATTTAGTTCAGGTCACGTATTGTGATTTGTTAAATTCATACTTAAATATTTTTAAGTGCGTACATATTATTAGAAAATGTTTACATGTCAGATATAAATTGCTTACTTCAAGACTATATATAGAGGTGAGAATAAGCAAAAAATGAGGTGTAGAAAAATGGTTATGATTTTAAACTGCATATTTATTTATCAAAAATGCTCATTTGTCATAGTCAAAGTGTATACATTCTAAAAATGTATGTCAACAAAGCAACTGAGATTTTTATATTCATTGTGGACACAACCGTCGAAATTGTACTGGAGCTCAGGCTTTCTCCGTCACCATGTGTGTCAATAGGAAATAGGTTGGGAGGTGCTTAAGGATATTTAAATATAAGTTAGTAATAACAGTTTGAAATTGATATCAACTAAATATGCATTATTTATTAACTACATGTTCATTTCCAATTAAACCGATGGCGGTGCCGACAACCGGTCACCGCCACCGGCAATTCACTTTTAAACAATGAAATAACTAATCTCAATTAATTAATATAAGCTATTAATTTTATAAAAACCAGTGGATGTGATTGGCTCCTTACATTCTCATGATAAAAGGGGTGCCCCTTACATTCTCATGATGAAAGGGGTCTTATCAGATCCACCCTGATATAGCCATATCGGCTAAACCAGACCGACACTAAGTAAAACAAGTAGACTGGATATGAAATGGACCAAGTCGACCTATAGAGAACATATGGATACATGGGAAGTTGAAACGAGACGGCCAAAGCATAGTGGACGACATACAGAGAAATATTCGACCTAAAACTAGGAAGCCTTCTATGATCAGTAGGGCAACCTGAATAACTGAGGCTCACTGGCTCAAGAATAACGACAGATACTTAGTACGAACACCTGGAACCGAGAGAACTGTGAGCACTTGGGAACATGAGTGGATCCCTAATCTCGATTAAGATGAACCTAGTGGTCATTAAGAGATTAAGATAATAAAGATTAATCTTAGGACATATGGAAACCTTCGAGAAGACTGATCGGGGCAGCCGGAAAACTCAGGCAGCTAAATCTTGGGCATCAAGGAATTCTTTTATAAAAGAGGTAAATGTACAACTTAAACATTCTTTAGTTCTATTCAATTCTTTTTTTATACCAAATTATTTATACTTTAATGTATACAAATATTTATTCCAAAATATATTTTTTAAGGCTTAATTGCCGCCAACATCACGACCTTTTACATTTTGGACATTTTAACCAAACCTTTGGAAATAGGCAAACATATCACGACCTTGTATAAAAATTGCAACCCGAACCCAATGTCTGCCGGCGGTGAATTTTTTGACAGCGTGTCCGGCGTCCGTTCCTACGTGGCCTCGACTGCTCGCTGAATTGGCACAACTAAACCGACGTGTTAAAAACCCAAAATACACGTGTGATACACACAAAATAAAAGCCGAATCAGGGTGAAAATTCTAATTATTTCTTCCCCAAATTATTTCTCCAAACCCTAATTATTTCTTCCCCAAATTTCGCAGCTAATTCCCTAACTCTAGCCCCAAAATTCGCAGCCAATTATCCCAAAAAAACTCACCATATCTGGTCTGAAAATGTCTTGCTCATCTCGTAGAAGCCAAAATTCCGAAAATAGTGGTGCCTCCAATGTGTCGACACAGAAGCTGTGCGACCACGGTAAAGATGCGATTGTTCTCACCTCCATGACTAATGATAATCCATGTAGGAGGTTCTACAGATGTCGGAATAGAGAGGTAATGTAATTGCAATGAGAATTTGGCTGAGAATAGTATAGGGTTTTTTTTTGGTGAATTTGGCTGAATTTAGCTAAGTATTAGGGATTTTTTTTTTGCTATGAAA